AACGAAAAAAGAGATAGAGGCTCGGCACGTACAAAGACAAGCCGCAAAAACATATGCCAACACACTGGAGACGGTGCCCCCCCTCAACGAACTCACAGAGATGCCGGGAGGTAAGTGCTAAATAGCCTACTTTCAGATGATAGAAATCTGATCATGTTATTGTCTGATTTGTGACCATCTTCTTTGATTTTGTCTGTTATTTTGGTCCTTTAAATTCACATTATCCCATTGTGTAAAATTCCCAGTACATTAAACTATTTATTTTACATAAATGAATTAATACAGATGTACAGTACACTGATGTGAATAGTTAATTAACCTATACAGACAAATTAATATTGAAAAAAATTGCAAAAAGGATTAAAGATATTTAGAGGCTATTTTAAGCTAAATGGTTGAAAATTCATAAATACAGCTACTAGAAATACGATCTAATGGTTTATTGCTTTTGACCAATAGGTGGCGCTGTTATCAAATTGATGTGGTGTGGTCAGTGTGAGGTGATGTTGACACATAAAGTTTGGTGTAAATATGTCAAAGCTTTGCAGAGATACAGCCTTAGATGTACTGTGGCATCATGCCATCAAATTCGCTGGTGTGGTAACTGAAAACCGTTTTGTCTATCGACATGAAATCCATACATTTTTTGTAGCATGGTCTGAAGATGATCTGGTTTGATTTTCACAAAAATTGGAGCAATGGTCAAGGAGGATTTAAAAAAAAAAAGACAGTAAGTTCAGCCGTTTATGGCATAATTGGCATCGATGTTTTCAACATGATCCAGAGAATATATCAAGACCAGTTTCATGACGATAGGCAAAACTAATCAAAAGCTATTAGCATTTTTAAAAATGTCATTATAATTCTTGACCACAAGGTGGCACTTCCACCAAATGTTTTGAGTACCGACATACTGTACCGACTTTCGCAACAATGCATTCGTAAAATATAGCATTTTATAACAAAATTCATAATGGCTGATGCCCAAAATGGCCGACATGGGGATATTGGGTATGGTTGACCTCTGTATGCTGCGCTAAATCTAAAATGACCAGTTTTGATTTTTGAACTGTTCAGAAGTTTTAATCAAAAATGTCAATTAGGGATATGCCGGTATCAAATTTTCATGTTGCGATTAATTGCTAATGCTTTTATCACGGTATACGGTATTATCACGGTATTGGAAATTAGTTTCAGAAAAGTGTTTTCATAATACAGTATAACAGGTTTAATAACTTTTTTCTTATAACAAAAATAACTGAACATTTAAATACAATAAAGCAATACAGAAAAAATTATAAAGTTAAAAGTTTTACACAGATTAAAGTGCAAAAGAATTATAAAGACCAATAGATATCACTTTACAATAAGACCTCATTAGTTAACCTAAGTTACTGCATTAACATTCACAATGAGCAATAGCTACAGTTGCTACAGAAGTTATTAATCTTTGTTAAAAAATACAAGTCTTAGTTCATGTTAGCTCATTAAATAACACAGTTGCAGCTTTCGATTTTAACAACGTGTTATTAAATATTGGAATACCTATGTTCAGTTTAATAAATGTTCAGAAGAATTTTTCATTGGCAGTTTATGTTAACTAATGAATTAACTAATGTTAACTAATGAAGCCCTAATGTAAAGTGTGACCGAACAATAAAGAATCAAAACACTGTTGTAGTCCAGATTAAAATGCAAAAAAAGTTTTAAATTAAATAGCCTATTAAGTTTAAATATTTAAGTATTTGGGGCTTTGATGAACATCATGGCAAATACACAAATCTGAACGACTGTTTAAATCATTTTAAATACGTTTCAGAAACAGAAAGTAGTGCAGCTGCTTTGTTTCCGGGGCTACGGCTGCATTTCTGCTGTTTAGCGCCATCTGCTGTCAGAGAGTGAATGTGCTTTCATTCAAAGCGTCTCTCATGCGTTCCGCCATGCACTTTTCATGCGTGCTTGTTTACATCAGAGTGCGCAAGCATCTTTAACGCAGCATACAGCGGTGTTGTGCATTTTGACCAGTTGATTGGAAAAGTATTCTTAAAATGCATTCAAAATTCGGAATAATTTGTAATATATAATTATTCACGGTATTTAGAAGTGCCCACGATAACAATATCGTGCATATTCATTACCGTGATATATCGCATTACCAGATACCGGCACATGTCTAATGTCAATTTTTCCATATCTCCCTACCACTAGGTGGCGCTGTGCAGGTAGCCTTAGGTCATGGCTATTATAACACACACCAAGTTTGGTCTAAATACGCTAAAGAGATGCAGAGATATAGCCTCACATCCATTTTGGCGAGCTCTTCATCACAGTTGTCCATGCGTTCTGGTTTGCACGAAAATCAGACAAACGCTTAGTAGGAGGTCAACAAAGAAGTTTTTCAGTGCTTTAAGAAAATGTGTCATTGAAACATTTTATTCAGCAAAAAATTCTAATTCTGTGGAAAAAAATGACTGCCTGGTATTGTCTCTTTGGTAGAAAAAAATTAATAAAAAATAAACGTCTTGCTGGTGTATATTATAGTTGTCACACTAAGCATGGCATTGGATCATTGGCCAAACAACTTTTTATTCCAGAAGCCCTGAGCTGGGGTCTTTTCTATACTGACTTCTCACATAGACACATTGTGCAGATTTCCATCCTGATAGAAATCTAGAAAAGCCACACATCGTCACTGAATTCTCATTTTTCTTTTTAAACATTTCTTCCATATTTTTCTGCATTTCATTTCAAATCTATTCTTTCAGCTGATGTGTCTGATGTCATCTGTCTTTTTCCAGTGCTTTTACTCTTTCCCTTTGTTTATCTGTATTCTTTTCCCTCTTTTCACATCTCTTGTGTGTTTGCTCAGCTCTTGCGGAAGCGTCAGCTCTGCAGACAGTCTCTGATCAGGTACAGGCTCGCGGTAGTGGACAACTTCCTGTGGTCAGGGAAGAAGATGAACCTGCCAATCCAGTCACTTAGAGCGATGCGCTCGAGCTCTCCTGTTCTTTCTGCCTGCCTGTCCTCAGCCTGTCCTCCTGGATGCCTTAGTGTAGAAAAGACCATCAAGACATATTATCATCATCATATTTATGATGAAACTGGTGAAATATGCTGCTTGCAGTGTCTTTGAGGCTGTTTTGCCTGCGTTTAGAATCTGTTGTCAGTAGGTATAAGTGAAAGATGCAAGTGTAAATGTAAGCGAATCCTTACAAAATTCAGCCTTAGGTGCATCTTAGAAAATATAAAGTAATTAATGAGTAAAAAGCACATATCTTTACATTTTCCTACTCTTTTTCTGTCTTTTAAAGTCAACCTGGAATCAGAATTGACCCCATTTACTTTCCTAACACACACATTGCTGGTCTTATTGTGCATGATTCCAAAGAAAAACTGTAAAGAAAAACCTTGATGTGCCAGATCCATAAACTGGTTGAGGGACGTTTGAGGACCATTCTCACACAACTAAGATATTAAAAGCTCACTTAGTCTGACTCTGAAGAAGACAATGCAAAATGAACTTTGTTGGTGATATATATGGCCAGTTTTGGGAAAGCTTGGCACATTCAAGTCATATCCAAAGTTCTGTCATGAAACTCTAGATGGCGCAGTCTGATAGGTCTAACTCAATCTGACATAATGACATCATCACATGCCGTAGCTGATTGGTTCTTTTTGTATCAACAGCCAATGAGCTTGCAGCTCAACATTCAAATACTCGGCTAGTGTTTGCTGTAGCTGTTGCAGCGCACTTCAGAAACCCCCCACCTTCCCCAGCTCCACCTGTATAGATCTGCTACGGGGTGATTTTATGTATGTTATACATGGGGGTTATTTCTTATGTTTTATGTGCGGCAGCAGTATTTCTTACATGCTCACATCTGCATGTTGTGGATGTACTGGCAGAAGCAAGTCAACGTAGCAGTTTTATTTCGCTCAGACCAAACACATTAACATTGTCATTACCATGCCAAACCCTCAGAGAGTTGCCATGATAGAATTTATGTTGAAAGCAGCTTTACAGTAACAAACAGGAAATAAAATAACATTGTCAATGCTGCAAAGTTCAGCAATTTTGAACCGATTTCAGTTGTAAAGCAGCTCTACAGAATAAAATAGTGTCATTGTTGCACACACAGGACAGGCTGTTTGTTTGTGGTGGCACATATTTTATTTTGTTGTCACTGCACTTAAATCTGCAAAATTAACAACATACAACCTGAATTATACAGCAGATCACATCTTGAGCAGTAATAAGCGAAGCAGTCCTTGACATTCTCTGTACAGCCACTAAGTGCAGCATAAGAACACAACAGCCTTACTTCGAGCATAACCCACTTATTAAAACAAATATATTTTTTTGACAAATAAACTCTCTTGACATTCTGAAAGTGAACATTTGAGGTATTATTGAGGTACACTTTTGCAGACTGAAACCATGTAAGAAAATAAGAGTTAGTCTTGCTTGCATCACTAGGCAGCTTTGTAACAGCTCATAATATCCGAGTACATCACCAGTAAATAATATTAATATGTGACAGTCTCATATTTCAGCATAAATCACACTATCAATCACAGTTTTAAGCCGCACTATATTTTGCATGACACACTTGTAAAAACTCTTACGTCTCAACACAAGTCAGTGTTAATGTCTCTTTTTCTGAAAATACCTTTTGATGCATTGTTTATGAAACAAGCGCATATTGTTTTCCAGACACAGGTTGTGAATTCTGTTTCATGTTGACTTAATCCTGTGGGTCACACGTTATTTCAAGGTCCAATTCTCACTATTACTAACTATTAACTATGACTTTTGCCTCCATAAACTCCTAATCTGATGTTTATTAATAGTTAGTAAGGTAGTTGGTAAATTTAGCTATTGGGTAGGATTAAGAATGTAAAATATGGTCATGCAGAATATGTGCTCTGTAAATACTGATAAGCCAATATGCTAGTAATATGCATGTTAATTATAAAACTTGTTGATAGTGAGAATTGGTCCCTAAACTTAACCGTTACTATTCTGTGTGTCTGTCTATGCCCTTTTTCCTGAATAAATAATTAACCTCTAACTTTCTTTCTGACAAAGTCGGTTTATCGTGTGTATTGA